GTGCCTGTTCCCCCACCTGCACCCCCGTCTCTCCCCGCTAATTAGCAGTCTGATGGGCTTCCGTGGAGTAGGTTGCCGGGTTGAGCCGCTCCCGAGTCCGGACAACTGTGACATTCGTCATCTACCTTAGAAATCTTTGAAACGATTTTCATTCGATTGGCCAACACCCGGGGCCAGCTTGAGAGATTTTACACCTCCTCTAATTGGTTTCATGTGGCGGGAGGTAACTTCTCCTTTTAGCTGGAGCGATCGAGAAAAAAACCTGCAGGGCGAACAACAGCGGTATCCCTCCTACCCGCTGACCTATCAGCACAGACTCTGTGTCCTGAACACTACTCTGTACCCCTCTGTACCTCTCTACTACCCCTGTACTTCTGAAACAAAGGTGCCTTCATACAGATGTGATCCAGTGTTTAGCTGCCTTGTCCTAACCCTGCCCGTCCCGTCCTGTCCCGCCCCCCCCGCAGGATTGTGTGCCAGCTGGCCGATGCCACGGGGTACCGTGTCCAGGAGGCGCACGTGGAGGTGTGTGTGCGCGACTGCTTAGCGGACTACAGAGCGGTCTCGCCCAGGGCCTTCACCTTTGTGGTAAGCAGGAGAGGCAGCAGGTGGCCTGTGTATGGCTGCGGGGCTACGGGCTCACTGTGCTGAATACCAAACTACACTGCACCTGATGTGTGTGTGTGTGTGTGTGTGTGTGTGTGTGTGTGTGTGTGTGTGTGTGCACGTGTGTGTGTATCCCTGTGTGTTCTCATTTAAGCTTTCTGCGTTAAGCAGTCCCTAGGCATTGTTTATTGTTTCCTTTCTTTAGTTGCGAATTTTGTGGATGAATTAGCATTTTACAAAATGCCTTCATTCAGGTCCGCATGGAGTCGTCTGTGTGGTTCTGCGTAAATGAGTCAGAGGATCCTGCTTTGCACAGCTCTGATGTCTAAACATTTGTTGTACATAGTGCTGTGTGTTTTGAATGCGTCATGTGACTTTTCCCATTTTGAGTCAGTGCATCGTAGGTATTATGAGAACACGTGCTGACATGATTTTCAACGCCCCCCCGCCGCCCCCAGACCCCGTACTTCACGCGTGTGCACCCCTCCCGCGGCCCTCTCTCGGGGGGCACCAGGATCACCATTGAGGGGAGCCACCTGAACGCCGGCAGCGCGGTGGCCATCAACATCGGCCTGCGCCCCTGCCACTTCGAGAGGTGAGTCCCAGCATGCACTGCTGCTCTCCTGCGCCCCGCCCCTGCCCGACTCCCTGCCTAAAGGCTTCTGCTGAAGGACCTCGCAGTACCACAGCGCTTCATTGGTGTGGGAACGTGAACATGGACAAATGCTTGGATAATTGGAGATGTCTCTCTGTGTGATTAGGATCACACATTTACACAGTAATGTTCTAAGCTGCAGAACCAGCGCTAAAGCTGAAGAGGGCTCCCCTGGGGCTTTTTAGCGGCCACCTGTGGTTAGTCAAAAACAATGGGCCAATGCCTTTAAGGATAATGAAATGACTAAACACAACACACTGGGTAACGTTTATCAAGTACTGGCAATTTACCAGCATAAAATGATGGAGTTGTGCTCTTCTGGCCAAGATGTGATTCATCATATTATAGCGTAGCATTGCTATAATGTGCTAAGTTTCTCAGCTCCTCCTCTAGAAATATATGTAAGCCATTCTTTTTTTAATCTTTGGTCTGTGTTAGGCAGGTCAGTTTCCCATCATGAATTCCAGCGTTAACCTTGTAGTGAATGAACACTGTTGTGAGAACGCCACTCTCAGAACCACAGGCCCCTCCCCCTCTTCTCTTGGTGGTGAGCTCTGATTGGCTGGTGGTGTCCTAAGGACTGGAAGCTCATTAAAGCGCAGGGTGGTTGAGTGAAGGGTCTTTATGCCCGTTGCGGATGGATCTCTCGAACGCGGGCACTTTGCCTCGGTGCCAGGCTCCTGACTGGAGGGAGACCAGAGAGATTGCCATCCCACTCATCCTCCGCCGCAGAGTGCTGCACTGGATCTTTGCCAGTGTTGTAATTTGTCAAACAACGCTTTTTGTTTCCAAATCCTGTTCTACTCGGAAGGAAAACGTTGGCTCCGCTTCTCAAACAGAGCAACTTTTTTTTTGCTCATTATCTAATCTATCTATCTAACAAACGTAAGGCCTCAGTAATCCCATGCAAGAAAGGAACCAGCACAGTAAAAAATAACAAAATCAGTCCGACTGTTCCAGCTCTCAACCAGATTGGTGGTACTGACGGTGAACATTTTATGTTTGCACTTGGTGAAAATGTAGTATAGCGTTCCATTAGATTAGTGTGTGTGTGTGTGTGTGTGTGTGTGTGTGTGTGTGTGTGTGTGTCTGCGGGGCTGTGTGTGAGACAGAGACAGACAGAGAGCTACATAGAGAGAGGTGGTAGCTCTAAGGTAAAATTTTGATGGTTTTTCAGAGGGAAGCCTTTGGAGGCTGGGTGTATTTATTATGCTGTGCAGTGGGGCATATTAAAAGTATATTCAAAGTTAACCTTTCATCAGTGCGTTGGAATAGGGCACTGCTTCTTCATCTCCGAGTGGCCGCACACTGGGACGTGTTCCAGAGCGGCAATCGCCAACCGGCTTTTATCCGCTGACATGTCCGACCGCTGCTGCTTTTGAAATAACCTGGCCGCTTTATGAAAAATGTTTCGTAAAAAAAAAATCAGCTGCTTATCTTCTCTTCCTCTCCCTTTCTCTCACTCTCTCCCTCACTATCCTCGTTCTTTGTGCTTGTGACAAACACCTTGTCAAAATATGTATGGTCCTCTGGGGGGTTTTGGCGGTGAGTGTTTGTGAGAGGGGGTTCCCATGGCAACGCAGTGAGAGGAGAGTCGGTGAAGGTGTCGCACGCGCACCTTCTGCGGGAACCTGCGGACACGGCCGCAGGAACTGCAGCCTGCGAGATGGAAATCCATTTCCTGTTTACGCCTCTCTGAAGCTTTTGAAGCTTTTTGTAGGATTGAGAGCTGAATCGCACCAGGCCGCAGACTGAATGAAATGATGTGTGTGAAGCGCACGTATCGTATGATGAAATAGAATGGGGGGGGGTGAGTGAGAGACAGAGACCTTACCCCACCTCTCCTGGGGCTGCCGGAGCCTTGGGGCCACTGCACTTACTGAGGCAGTACTGGGTTAAGTACCCTGCCCAAGGGTGCAGCAGCAGTTCCACAGCGACAGGGAATCGAACCAGCAGCCTTTCTGGTAGGAGCCCTGCTCCTTACCACTTTGCTACACTGCCGCCCCTGTATACAGATAAATATTCATATGCGGTATATCATATATTCCACCTATATTAATTTGAAGAGAAATTGATGTACCTAATTGAAAATATATATATATATTCTATATGTATAGAATGAGTAAGAAAGACGTGAAATTAAGAAAATTAACGTGAAGCTGGATCAGAAGCCTCTGGCCCGTGTGGTTCTGCAGCCCGGTTCCCTGCAGCCCGGTTCCCTGCAGCAGTGTGTGTATTCTGCTGTTGAAGTGTCCGCATGTTGAGAGAGAACCCGTCTGTGCTCTGTCAGGCGTTCGGCCAAGGAGATCGTGTGCGTGACGCCGGCGGGCCAGAACCCGGGAGGCACACCCGTCATGGTGGACATCAACTGGGCTGAGCTGAGGAACCCGGAGGTGAAGTTCAACTACACCGAGGACCCCACCATCCTGAAGATCGACCCGGACTGGAGCATCGCCAGGTAACCGCCAGCTGCCTCTAAAACTCACCTGCTCCGTGCTGTGCGTGTCACATTCATCATATTACATTACTGTCATTTAGCAGATGATTTTATCCAGAGCGACTTACATAGGTTATAGTGTTTACATGTTATCCATTTATACAGCTGGATATTTACTGAGGTAATTCTGGATTAAGTATTTTGCCCAAAGGTACAGCGGCAGTGTCCCAGTGGGGAATCGAACCAGCAACCTTTCGGTTATGAGCCCTGCTCCTTAAAACAATGCTACCCTTGTGGTTGTGAACCCTCCTCCTTAATACATTGCTACCCTGCCATACCAGGTTCAAACTGCTTTGAGGAGGTAGTGCATTCTAGGACAACATGCGCCAGTTGACTGGATCCTCTTCTGTGAGGCGCACGTGAAGTGAAACATTGCTTAAGAGCTGAGAGACCGCAGAGTCCTGCAAGCCAGGGCTGGGGGAATGAACGCGGGCGTAAACCACTTCACACATCACCCCCCACGCCCCCGGGTCCCTGCTGTGTCACACACCCCCAGGATTTAAAGATCCGCAGGGAGAAAGGCAATCAACACCCCGCTCTGATGCAAACGTGATCACCCCATAGCTTCCTCTCTCCGAGAATGCTGCTCCACAACCCCCCACCCCCACCCCTGCCGCTCTGCTGCGTTATCAAAGACAAGTTAGCTTTGCGCTAGTCAGCTTTAGTTACATTTGCTAGCTAATTTTATGACAGATATTAGTTAATATTATCTAGCATAACCTGCAATGGCTCCCTTTCTTTTTTAAAAAACAATACTGCTGGTTGCACTGCTGCTGGTGGGGGGGGGAAGGGGGTGTGGGGGTGCGCTGGGCGTAAACGCTGCGGCGTGTGCGTTCGGGCCGCTGGGGAGAGGAGAAGGTGTGAGGTGGCAGCGGGCTTGTTTACAGCGGACGTGTGAAGAAAAGAGATCTTTAACGCCGGCCGCGGGGAATCGCCGCCGTTTGCCCCTCCGCCGCTCCCCTTCCCATGATCCCGCGGGGCCCCCGCCCGCCGAGCGCTTTGCGTGACGGCCTCACAGTGTTACTCATCGGTCCAGCACAGCACCCTGCCCAGGGAAGCCTTCCATGTTTACATTTCACTTTACATTTCATTACGTTACTGTCATTTAGCAGACAGTGCTTTTATTTACATGCTTAAATATATATACATTTACATAGGTTACAATTTTTACATGCTATCCATTTATACAGCTGGATATTTGCTGAGGCAATTGTTGGTTAAGCACCTTGGGTACAGCAGCAGTGCCCCAGCAGGGAATTGAACCTGCAACCTTTCGGTTACAAGCCCTGCACCTTTCCGCTCTGCCCCACTGACACAATTGGTTTCAGTGCCAATGTTTAAATGCTGTCACCGCAGGGAGACTGTTGCCCAGGATACGGGGATTCGCGGACAGCCCCCGCCTCTCAGCCTGTGGTTACGCCCCCCCCCCCACTCTCAATCCTACGCTCTCAGTCCCGGGCCCTGAAGGACACTAATGTCTGCAGGCCTTCTCTCCAGCCGGACACTCAAGCACCTGCATCAAACGCTCGTCGTCTTGATTGAGCCGATTCCCTCCCCCCGCGCTCCGAGCGCGGCAGCGGCCATAAAGAGAGCCGGAAGGACCCTCGAGGGCCCCGGGGCCGAGTACCCCGCGTCTGGAGGACAGGCGAGGGGACGCACTCAAAAGGAGAAGGAGGTCAGACGAGCGGGCGAGGGGTTGAAGGAAGAGTTTTCAGAGCGGGAGGCGAGGATTATTGTGGTGTTAAATACGTGTGCGTAGATCGTCTTCAGGAGAAGGACTCCGTCATACCCATGTCTGAAGACCACTCTGCTCTCCTAGCCTCTCCCACTCTCCTGCTCCTCCTCTCCATCCGCCCCGGTGTCTGTATGGGGGGGGGCGCAGCGTGAGTACACCCCCCTGTCTGATCTCTGATTGGAGGCGAGGTGAATTCCCAGCTCTACGTGTGCGGGGTGGGAGAGCAGCTGTGCTCCCTCTCTCCCTCTCTCTCTCTCTCTCTCTCTCTCTCTCCCTCTCTCTCTCTCTCTCCCTCTCTCTCTCTCTCTCTCTCTCTCTCTCTCCCTCTCTCTCTCTCTCCCTCTCTCTCTCCCTCTCTCTCTCTCTCCCCCTCTCTCCCCCTCTCTCTCCCTCTCTCTCCCTCTCTCCCTCTCTCTCCCTCTCTCTCTCAGACCATCTGCTGTGCCGACTGTAGCTTGGCCGTCCCTCAGCAGAGCCCGGGCAGGGGCGGTCTATTAGCAGCGGCGGGACGGGCAGCCCGCCGCTCCCCAGAGGAGCCCCTCGCTTTCGGACCCGGCCACGGGCCCCATCTGGCCCACGAAAAGAGCCGAAACGCCTGGATCCTCTCCGGGGCAGGGAGGGTTTGGCCTCTCTGTCCTGTTCCTGCCCCCCATTCCTGCACAGCTGAAGCTTTTGTTAATTACTGGGTGCTGGCAGAGTCGAGTGCGGCTCCCGCGCTGGGGCTAACGTGGCCGTCGCTAACGCAATTCATCTGTTTTCAGCTGGAGGGCACCCCGCTCCAGTGCGACAGCTTGTGCTCTTTAAAGGCTAAGACACCCATGCCCTGATTGGGGCGTGTCAACTCGAAATCTGTGTTTTTGGGTGCTGGCATGCACCCACTTCCTGTCTCCATCAGGAATGCTCACCGCTGTAGGACATGCACCAGTGGTGCCCCCTGTGTGTGCGCGTGTTTACTCAGTGTTTTTCCATATTACGTGTGATCAGTGCATAAAAGGGCAAACCAGGACAGCGTTTTTTGTTTTTCATTTGTTTTTTTTTCCCCCAGGTTTGTCCTCTAAAAGAGACAAAAAGCAGGGCTTTTAGCGAGCTGTCGGGACGTGAATGGAAACTGTCGCTGTGATGCGTTCTCATTAAGCTGACAGGTGGCTGAGATCACTGCAGAAGAGCCAGAACCGGCCGGACCCCGGCTCACCCCTTACTGCTTAGCGCAGTCTGACGAGAACAATACGCTTCTGCATTGTTCCTGCTCCAGATGGTCTCGGTTTAATGGGAACGAATTCGCCATGCACTTCCAACCCCGCGACCACCATGCCTTTCTGTTCAAACTGCGCCGAGGGAGGTTTTCAGGCCTCAGTAAGAGCCATTAAGGGTTGCGTTGGATATCAGGTTTTCAACCCATTTGGAATCTGAACAGCTTGTTCTAAATCAGGGGGTCGAGACACTTCCTTTGAACGTCAGACAGGGTCCCAGTTAAGCTACAGAATTCCGCCAGTCCTTGAAGAGCAGTGTTTTACCTGCTGCTGTCCTTCGTAGTTCTTTATTTAGCCACCGCTCGTTACGGATAAATAAATAAGGAGGCAGACGCGGTAAGCTCCTTTGAAACACCCCCCCCCCGAGGGTCTGCACTGACGCAGTGGAAGAGATCTGTGCAGACAGTCACCACGATTTTTTTACAGAAGAAAATCCATATCGAAAATCCTGTTGGTTACTCTCCAGAGCGTTACCTGAGTTTAAAAAGGGGGCCTCAGAGGGGAAAACTGGAGGTAGGAATTCGGCATAAATAATATTAACAGCTGTGGAGTCTGTCAAATGAACGGACATCAAAGCTGGCTCGGAGCCGGGCACACTTGCGGCGGATTGGACATGGAGCCAGACAGGGACTTTGGATTTGAGCTGAATGGTCCTCTGCTTTAATATGTTTACTGTATGTCCTTGTTGCTGCTGTAAATTCTCCTGGCTGTCTTGTTACTGTGGAAATATTTGAGTTTGGTAGATTCCTGCTTGTGTCTGAGTGCAGTCTGGGCTTCAGTCCCTGCTTTGTGTCATTGACTGATTTTTTCCAATCTCCTGTCGCAGTGGCGGAACCCCGCTGACCATCACCGGCACCAACCTGGCCACGATCAAGGAGCCCAAGATGCAGGCCAAGTACGGTTCCGGAAGATCCGTCAACGTGAGTACTGGCCCGAGCCGGCCCGCCCAGCCGGGCCAAGACGCGCAGACGCGGGCCCGCCGGTCAGCGAGCCCGAGGCCTGTTTGTGTTTGCTGGTGACTCTGACTTCCCTTCCGGCAGTTTAACCTTTGAAATGTCAATCGGCAATAAAGGGAAACCGGCAAACCTGTCCGCACCTAGCACTACAGGGCCTGGCTAACCTTTTCCCCAGTCCTCCTACCTGAAGTGAAACATTAGAGTTGGCACTGGCAGATTTTGTTTATTTTTCTTTCTGTGTGTGTTTTTTTTCTCTTCCCCACAGTTAAATCCATCTGTTATGCCACCAATAAATGCAGCCTCCCTTGCCTTTTTGAGTTTGATTTTAAAATGTACCGTCGTGTGACCACTGATATGGTGTGTGATTGATATCATGCTAGAAGTGGGGACATGCAGAATCAGAACCAGATCACGCTTAGTTTGCCCACATATTCAAACATGTCAAGAGCATTTATCTGGCAATTAGGGGCATCAGTGAGATGTTCTGTGTGGAGACTGGGGAGATCCTATCAGCTGTGATAGGACCAGCGAGAAGCCCGTATCTCCACTCTGCTGCGTTACCGTGGGCCTCTCGGCTGAATTTTATCTCCCTCCCGCCAGAACTGCACGGTGTATAACAACACCATGATGGTGTGCCTGGCGCCCTCGGTGGCCGGCTCGGAGAAGGGCTTCTCGGAGGCAGGCAGCGGGCCGGACGAGATCGGCTTCGTCATGGACAACGTGCAGTCGCTGCTGGTGGTGAATGAGAGCTTCAGCTACTACCCCGACCCCGTGTTCGAGCCCCTGAGCCCCACCGGCATCCTGGAGCTCAAGCCCAGCTCCCCGCTCATCCTCAAGGTAGGGACCCCGAGAGGACAGGCACCGGCACGGGATTGGCTCCTTCTCCCGTGGCATCACCACCTGGAAGCAGAGTCATTACCCCAAGGTGGAGAATAGATGGTTGGGTTGCCACATTCGGTCTGCTATCTGTTTACCTTCCCTTTTCAAAACTGGCATCCTGAGGAGACTCACGTGTAGGGGATTAGTAGTTGGGATTGACTGCCAAAACTGCGATAAATATAGAAAACAGAAATTCATTTTGAATTGCATTTCAATTTCAAAGTCCAATATGGCGCCCCCGTTTAACCTAAATCTGTATATGTAGTCAATTCCTGCCCCCACTTCATTGTCTGTTTCTTTCATGTTGAGGAAAAACCTGACATGCCTTCTGCTGTAGGTTCTTTAGCCATCACACACACCGCTGATGGAGTGCATACTCTATAACAGCAATGCGGCGTACAGTAATGCAGCAAGCAGCATTCCAGCAGTACTCTTTACCAATTAGGATCAGAAAGTGTTTGCTGCCAAATGTTTATTTTTATGAGGAGCGTTTTAAACCTTTGATTGGCGCTATTAAATATTTTCCACTTGATATCTTTTTGCTTTTTCCTTCCCCCCCCCCCTTCTCTCCTTGAACTTCAAAGCTGTTGTAAAAAAAAAAAAATCAGCATGATATTTTATGGCAAATAAAGCCTTTTTTCTCTGAGCCAATTTAGAAAGGGGGGGGGGGGGGAGAGAAAGCACGACTCCCATTACTCTCCCGTTAAATGAAAAGTGGGTAATGAACCCTCTGATTGCAGGAGCCTCTGCTCGGTTAGCGCAACCTGCGCATTAACGGAAAAATAAGAGCGAGAAAAACGCAATCCCACCAAGTAATCTGGGATACATTAGATGTGCATCGAATTTTTCATGCAATTAATTTTTCATGGCGCAAGCCTCCTGGGTAATGCGAAGTGCTGCGTGTTTGAAATGAAGATGTGCGTTCTTAGAGGCTATTTACCCACCTAATTGGATCCCTCGGTCACCACATTGATTGATGCCTCCCAGTAGTTGAGCGCAGTCATACCAGAACGGATCAGCATATCAAATGCACTGGTCCCCATCTTCTCAGAATTCTATTGGCGGGTGATGAGGGCTGAGGACCTACCTGTTAATCCAGTTTGCATTCAAGCGTTTGTCTTGAGGAAGTGGGTCACTGTGGACCAGCTCAGCACTGCCTCTGTATCTCCACATCTATCTATACTAAACTGTCCATGTCTGTTTTTCTGTAGTAATGTTGCTCCACAGAAAGTCTGAAGTCACATTTCACCTAATTGATTTTGAAATGCCCCTGGGGCATGTGAGCTACTCTCTTGATGTACTCTACATAAGTGCCAGCAGTGATTGTCCACATCATCTGCTTCATACTAATCTCTTAATATATAGATAAAAATGAAGAGAGGATTACTGCATTTCAGACAGTATCAGTGACCCTCATGCCTCAGGAATGACTGGGCACTGGCTCAGGCAGTCTACAAACACTGCAAATTTAGCGATTAACTCCATCTCTGAATATT